TTTTTTGATGTGAATGGCATTGTCCACAAAGAGTTCGTTCTGCCAGGACAAACAGTGAACCAACATTTCTACCTGGATGTGTTACGAAGATTACGAGAGTGTTTTCGTCATTTCTTCCTGTCGAAGGACCCAGGGCATGGCATGTCTTCTGTTGACATGTTGCCAGATTTGAAATGGGAAAACCACTCATAGACCTGTGATTTCCCCAAAGCATCATCATTAAAGGCTTGCCGAAGCATCCCAACAGTCTCGGCTGCAGTTTTCCCTAACAGAAAGCAAAATTTCACGCACACTCTTTGTTCCTTCTGGTCGGCCATCTCACTAATCGCCAAAGGGTTGAAACAGGAACGCACACAACAGAGCACCACAGACAAACCACTTAACTCAGACTGACGCCAGCTCACTAACAGTCGCGGGAGACCCCCAGCTAACACCACCTAGCAGCACAACTCGTAACTACAAAGCATGCGCTCGCAACAGGTCGGTTCCGGTTATTTTTGGGTCCCCACTCATAGAAATGTTCTTCTCTGGTTAGTTTTTAATATGTGGGTATTTGATTTCCTGAATTATTAACATTTTATAATTATTGACTTGATATATGGTGTCTTTGATTTTAGATTTAATAGGATTTTATCTTTGAATGTGATCTCAGTTATATACCTGGCCATATATCGTTGTTTTGATTCCTTTCTGTAGTATGTGTGATGATGAGGTGGGTCCATATGGTCTTCTGTTAACTGGTTGTGCATCGCCACGCGTGCGGAATTTCTCATATGTTGGAACTTATTTTTCCTGAATTCTTAATATTTTGCACTTGTCGAATTGTGGCATGGAGTGTTTTGGTTTGGATTTAGTTTGGGCTTGTTGAGATATGGATTAATTTTAATCACAAATGTGATATATAGAATGGTCCAGGGTATGAGAATATCTGTATAGTTTCAATACAATAGATGTCTCCTCATGCCCCTCTCCACCTGAAGCAGGAGTAAAATCATTTCTGAAATGTTATGCTTTTATGTAAGAGCTAGGGCACTGGACATAGTCCAAAATAATAGATTATTATAACCAATAGTATGTACATTGTGTAATAGAGAATTGTGGAAAGATGCACAGTGACAGAGTATCCATTAGCTTCTTCTGTGCTCAGATTGAATTTTGCTATGACAACTTGTGAGAGTCTGTGTCCCTATTTTCCTGCAGGTTGCAGAGTACCACCGGCTGAAGGAGGAGGCTGGAAAGCAGTCAGCTATGTACCTTCAGCAGCTGGACTCGGTCAATCGAGAACAGAAATCTGATCAAGATCGCTTGGATAATGAGTTCAGGAAGAAAGCTGAGTTGGAGAACCGTCTGCGACAGAAAGGGCATGAGAAAGATGAAGCTATGAAGCGTGTTGAGAAACTAGCTGAACACATAAAGTGAGTGTGTATGTGGTGGGGGGTAGTCCCCCTGTAATTATAAGTAGTAACAGAAGTGAATTTCCTCCAGAATAAAGTTTGAATAATCATTCATCTTTCTCCTTATATCAAAAGTGGCATAATACCTATTGAAACTTCAACAGATTTTTTTGTTTTGATATGTATTGTTATTTGAAGTTTTTTGTTCTCATGACAGTGAATATTAAGACTGTGATCTTCTGGGATGTAGTGCCATGCACATTACTCATTCAGTTGATTTATAACTGTAAAGTTTAAACATAAACATGAAGGAAGAAAAGGGTGAGACTGCAATAGTACATGCTTAGATAGGATGGGCATGATTGCTTTAGTGCATGTTCTGGTTTAACCTTGTGGGCAAACATAGCTCAAGACCTTTGTAAGGTTTGTGGAGGTTAGTTTTCTTTTTTGGTGCACTCTCCTGACTGGCACATAAATGTTGGTGCACTAAAATAAATGCTGTATTCTTCTTACTTTAATAAGTGTAGATGCTAAAAAAAATGCTGTAACATCACATAACTTTTGTATTATTTACTGCTGTGGTATTGCACACTAGTCACCTTGATGCCTTAGATGGTTGCCTTTTATGCAATACAAAGGTTCATTACCATGTTCACAAATTCCTGCCATTGGTCTGTACTGTTATCCATGTGATTTAGTGCACTCTCTCCCATTGTTTCTTTAAGACTCATTTTAATACCGTCCTTCCATTTACACCTAGGCCTCTCAAATTGTCTCTTTCCTTCCAGTTTTCCAAGTCACATTGTATTTTGGCCTGTGTGACGTTTCTTAACATGTTATTTTTTTTATGCCAAGGGGTTGTTAGTCCCCCACCCACTTCCCATGCTGGAGAATTACCTCTTGTTAGCTGCCCGTGACTGCTTATTCAATATATTCACAACTGTTTTCCATATTTGGAGGCTTTGTCTACTGTCTGCACCCACCCATGGTGACAATGAACTCACTTAGCATGGCAAATAATAAACATTAGGTAGATATGAGGGAGAGTCAGTAAATAGGACACAAATGTATCACTAGGTAGCAGCACAGTCCAGCTTCATGACAGTCTAGGTAGCAGATGCACATGCACATGTTCAGAGGCTGGTTTCTGTAGTCAAAATGGTGACCTTGCTTGAGTAGGTATTACCCAAGAGCAGCATCCAGTTTGTAAGTTTTTGTGGGCCAAAGGACTCAATGCAAAGGATATTCACGAAGAAATGTTTCTTGTTTATGTTGGGATGTGTTTGTCGTGTAAAGTGGTTCCACCTTGGTGGCATATGTTTCACTGATGATGAAGAGGTTGAAACACAGGTGCAGAAGTGGCTGAGACAGCAGAAGAAGACTTCTGTGCAGCGGGTTTTGACGCACTGGTAAAGTAATGGAGCAAGTGTATCAATATTGGTGAAGGATATTTTGAGAAATGAATGCTTTTTCTTGGTTTGAATATCACATACTTTACATTTTATATCAATTTGTGGCTTATTTACTGACTCTCCCTCATGCATATTGTGACATAACAGCTAAAAGCTGGAATAATGGAACAAAACAAGAGGCAGCCATTGTTATACAATGGCAGAGTAAACACATTTCCACAGCAGTGAATGAACACACAACAAGATAGGAACCATGGAAGTGATGTTTTCTGTGCAGTCCAAGCCAAGGCTGTGTAGTGAAGATAACCAGTGAAGTTGAGCCAGCCTTAAGTTGCATTGTTAAGTGCCACCACCAAGAAAGTACTAGTGCAGACATAGCAGACTGAGAAGACATAGTATAATTGTAGTGATGTGTAGAGTGTGTAAATTGGTGAGACTGTTATAGTTATTTGTAGTTACAAGTTATAAGCGTTCAGTAAATTAGTCATCAATCCAAACCCTTAGTCAACTCGCTGACATGTGACAATACTATAGGCATGTATGAATTTTGAGATTGAATTTAGAAAAATTGCAAGGAAGGATTGGTGCTGAGTTTGACTATGTAGAAGACTGGTTGTCTCAACCCAAAAGAGTTGCAAAATTATGAGTTCACATGAATTAAATGTTGTATGTGTGTATTTAATTTATTCATTGGATGGTTTTAATCTGTTATAAGCTTTTAGTATGCCAAAGTTAGCTGTATGTTGTGCTGTGAGAGTGTTAATGAGAAAGTGAGAGACAGTAATATGCTTGAGGTGCCATGAGGTTGCCCAAAGTGTTATGAGGGTTAGGAAACAAAACTGGAAGCTCACCTGTTTGTGATATGAGGTCCTGTGCTAACACAGGAGTCCCTCACCATAAAGATGGCAGATCATGTCAAGAAAGAAGTAGTGCAAAAGAATAATGTGTCAGAAGGTATCATGCTCAACAGTTATGGTTTATACTGCAAGGTTATTGTGATTAAACATATAAAACAAACAACTATAAACCAGCAAGAAAATGTAGTGTCTTCTCGAGCAGATTTCTGAAGGTGGAAACAACATAAACATGACTATTAATTCAATGTGAATATCATCGTTTGTTGACATTCAGAGACAGTGAAAAATTGGTTTTCTAGGGAAAGTTCTAATTCTCATTCTTGTCTTGATTCTTTCCAGATGCTGATCTAGGGCTTGTCTCTAACTGGAAAAGTGCTTTCATGTATGTGCCTAATATGTTTTACTGAATGTGATAAGAAGCAAAAGAAGCCTAGTTTAATTATTTGTGTCCAAATTGTATTGTATATTTTCTTAAGTATCAATCGTGTGGTTTTTATTCTAAGGAATGTGTTCAGTTATAGTTACCTTTGATATCCTGAAGAATTATGCAGTGAATTATAAAATAGCAGTTGCATATTTTATATGCCAGTAATGCTTCTGTAATGATCAATCAGGTAAACTGTCTCGGTCTTTTACCCAGTAACAGTTTTAGCTAATTTTACTTATGGAAAAACATTTTGCGCTTTATTATAAACTGTTTTGAAATGTGATTGTAATATGTTTTGTGCTAAGACAAATGTTTCTATTTCAGGAGTAGCGAGGCAGCCTTGGAAGAGCAGCGACGCATGCGTGAGGAGTTGCAATCAGATGTTGGAATGTCAAAGGAGAGGGTACAGGAGTTGCAGCGGGAGCTAGAGAGTGTTGTGGAACAGTTGGGTGATGCTAGGGTTGACAAACATGAGGACTCACGCCGTAAGAAGAAACAAGAAATTGTTGAGAACTTCAAACGATTATATCCTGGCGTGGTGTGTTTCTCTGTTATTTTTCCTAGACTTAGTAAAGAAGGCCTTTTATGAGTATGAATAATTCTCATTGTTAAGACATCTGGGAAACTCATTTTGATATAGCAGATATTTATTATCCTTCAGCATTTATGGCAACTGTAACAGCCTCTTTATTAACCCCTCAAACCGGCATTTAAATCCCTACTATTTCTACACTGCAGTGGTCATTAAATGACCCATTAGCACACATTTCTCACAGCATTCTTTCACTGTTATAATATTTTAGAAATTACTGAAGTTACTTCTATGAAACTTTCAGGAGGCCTTACAAATAGTCTAAGACTTTCATCCAGCATCTCTCTCTCTCTCTCTTTTTTAATAAATATCATACATTATTTGCTGCTAGGAAGTGGCTTTGGTGTGGTAGATCTTGAGGCAGCCCTCAAGACCCAAACCTTCTCCATGGTCCTTATGCCAGAATGAAGTTTCTTTCCCCCCCCCCCCCCCCCCCCNACTGCTCATCTCTGCTTGGGCTTGGCTTTCTTCCCAAGGGGATGTATCCTTTCTACAAAGTGTCTTGCTTTCAGGTGTTGGTGTCTTGGATGGTCCTCTGAGATGAGGTTCCAAAGCCTTCCCATGTACTTCAATAATTCTTTTATTATTTGATTATTATTTGAAGTCAGAAATCTAGATGGATTAACCGCGTCTGTGGCTTAGTGGTCAGAGTTTCTGGCTACAGATCCAGAGGTCCTGGGTTTGATTACCAGAGCTACCACATTTTCTGAGAAGTGGGTCTGGAATGAGGTCTACTCAGCCTTGTGAAGATAATTGAGGAGCTATTTCAAGGAAATAGTGGCTGTAGTCTAGAAACCCGAGATTAACGGCTGTGGGGATCCGTTTTGCTGACCATGCAACACCCTCTATCCACAAAAGTTGGCACTAACTTCGCCGACAAGCAGCGGTCGCTCAGTTGGTATAGTTTGCTTGTGGACTACAGGCCACGAAGTCTTTTTTAATCCAGATGGATTAGTTGCTTCACATTCTGGCTTTGTCTATAAAGCACAAAGGCATTATTCACTGAAATATTTAACAGCCTTTTGAACAGTTTTGTGTTCTACTTTGTGCTTCTTTTTCTCTCAGTTTCTCATATGGTGCAGTTTTTGATCCTTCAGGTCTCCTCCCATAAACAAGTTATATTCCTATACCTCTTGATTTATATGGGTCTTCCTCTCTTTGAAACTGCCACCATGGTATCACTGAAAGGTCAAAATAAATGACACAGGCTGCACAGTGGGTGCATTAGGTTATGCAGACACTATGGCTCTATTAAAAGTTTTATGATATAAAATTTGATTGCATTTGAATGATTATTTTTTGTGTGGATATATTGGGTTTCTGGACTTTATCCATTGTCCTAGTTTTTAAAAACTTAAAAACTAGGACGATGGATAAAGTCCAGAAACCCAATATATCAGTGTGTTATACACCATCGTCAGAATCCTATAGTAACTAATTATTTTTTGTGCTCAAGGAATCCTGTTTGTTTGAAATTTCTGTGAAGTTGAAGATACAGGGTGGGGCACAGAAACTTCCTTTTTGTGAAGACGCATTGTGAATGGAGGGGAGGTTGCAGAAAAGTGGGGATAGGCTCGGCGAATGCAGCAGTCGCGGAAGTTTCTATCTAATACCCCTCAGTAGGAAACATGAGGTGGACGAGTGAGCAGCATGCGTTTGCTGTCGAAGCCTATTTTTCGAACCACCATTTCTACTTGGCGGTGCAGCATGAGTTCTGTACTCACTTTGGAATTAAGCCCAGAGGTCTGGTTCTCGACCGGAAATCGATTGTTTTGTGGGTAGAGAACTTTAGGACAACCAGGAGTGTGGTGAAAAAATCATCAGGACGACAACGGACTGTTACAACGCCAGAAAATGTGGAGACAGTTCAACAGTCAATTTTGAGATCTCCATGACGCTCTGCTTGCAAACATGCAGTCGCTCTAGACATACCCAATAATTCAATGCGCCAAATTCTTCACGAGCATCATCATTTCCATCCCTATAAGATGGTTGTTGTGCAAGAATTGTCACCACATGATTTCCAGAACCGAATAACAATGTGCGAAATGTTATTGGAAACTTTACCCCTTGACACACTTGTTTTCTTTAGTGCTGAGGCACATTTTTACCTATCCAGATATGTCAACAAGCAGAATAAGCGCTATTGGAGTGGTAACAATCCCAGAGAGCTCTGTGAGAGGCCACTTCACAGTGATAAGGTGACAGTATGGTGTGCGTTGTTGAGAGTTGGCGTTATATGGCCTTATTTTTTTGAAGAAAATCATGCAGTTACTATCAGTTCACAGTGGTATGTGGACATGATTAAAAACTTTTTCAAACCAGCTCTTGAAGAAATGCATCTAGGAAATGTCTGGTTCCAACAGGATGGTGCCACGGCCAACACAGCCCGAGCTTCAATGAAAGTGTTGAGGGCAAAGTTCCCCGGATGGCTCATCTCACTTCGAGGTGACATCCCGTGGGCACAGCACTCACCTCATCTAAGGCCGATTTTTTTTTATGGGGATACCTCGAGGCAGAGGTTTTTAAACCTCGCCCCACAAACCTGCTTCAACTGAAGAATGTTATTCAGCAGGAAGTAGCCCAAATTCTGGTGCACATGTTGGAACGTGCAGAGGGGAACTTCAGAAAACGGTTGCATCAATGCATAGAGAACGGTGGCCACCACCTTCAAGATATTTTGTTTAAAACTTTAAAGTGTGTTCTTTCATTAGCTAAACATAAATTTTGTCTATCAGCAATAGTTTTTCTCTTATTCGCCTTCAAAGAAAGGAAGTTTCTGAGCCCCTCCCCCCTGTATTATAATAAAGTAATATACCATATTTTAGGGACTGGGCGCTGTTTTCGTCTTTCAGTTGCTAAACTATTGATATTTCTCAAATAAGCTGGAATAATTTATCATATTATATAACTATGAGTCCATTTCTTGTTATTTTACATGTATCTTGGTAGATGCTTGTAGGGTTATCTTCCTCACCTTCATTGTGTATCAGACAACATTGGTACTTGTGTGTTCGTAGTTTGACCGTATGATCAATATGTGCCAGCCCATCCACAAACGATACAATGTTGCCATCACCAAGGTGCTTGGAAAGTATATGGAAGCAATTGTTGTTGACACTGAGAAAACAGCCCGTCAGTGCATCCAGTATCTCAAAGAACAAATGTTGGAGCCTGAAACCTTTCTTCCTCTGGATTACATTCAGGCAAAGCCACTTAAAGAACGATTACGGTAAGTAAGCACAGGCAAGATTTGAGGCTCTCATAACTGTGAATATTAATACTGTATATGGTTTTCTAGCATGTGACACAATGTAATCTTGTAGCTAGAACTGATTTACTGTGAAGATGGAAGCAGCAGGTTCCCCGAGAACATAGATAACTGTCTACCACCCTACGTAAAGTCACTTTCCACATGATCATAATCTTCCATTTAAGCAACTTCATTATGAATATAATTTTGTATCATATTGCATCATAATTATCGAGAGATTAGAAGTTTGTGTTTATTCTTTGTTTTGTAGGAACATCAAAGAACCACGTAATGTGAAGCTGCTCTTTGATGTGCTTCACTACGATCCTTTGGATATTAAGCGAGCTGTCTTATTTGCTACAAATAATGCCCTTGTTTGTGAAACACCTGAGGATGCCATGAAAGTTGCATATGAAATGGATAAGAACAGATATGATGTAAGTGTTGCTACATGAGGTTGATTTGTGATGAACATGCAGAGGTTTCTGGTGTATATTCATGGTCACAGACATACTGTGATGGTTTACAAAATGAAAAGCACAAATGTGAAAATGAAGTAGGAATTAGGATTTAGAGAACATTCTGCACTTCTGAATCGGGGGTGGGGACTGAGCCTCCTGTCTAATGGATACTGGGGCTCTTTCTCCGGGGGGTGAAGCAGTAGGGTCATGTAGCTGACCACTCACCTCCATCTATTGCCCAGGTCAAGAAAGGTAAGCTAAACCTCCACTGCACCATATGTCTTCATTGCATAGAGCTTAAGTAATTAAGCATAGAAACTTACTTTTTTTTAAACATTCTGTAGTTAAAATTGTACTGTCATATTTTAGGCTGTGGCTCTTGATGGTACATTTTACCAGAAATCTGGAATTATCTCTGGTGGCAGCTTGGATCTGGCTCGCAAAGCAAAACGCTGGGATGAAAAACACATGTCCCAACTGAAAGCTACTAAGGTATGTGATAATACTTGAGACATATACATGCAGGGGTTAACCCTTTGACGTGGTCATTTAAATTCCGCGGCCGCGGCTCCTGCGGTAATATATTCAGCCGGCCATTTAAATTTTGCTCGAAAATTATTTATTCATCATTGTTCTTAAATTCTATGAGATAGGAACATGAAACTTTCACTAAAATGATCTTAAAAGGTGGTTTTATAACCTTACCTTATAATATG